CTGTACCGCCGCGGTCGACTGCTGAAGTGCTGCCTGTACTGCATCCACGTGGGCACGAATCGCAACCATTTCCTCGACGGGGTGGAGGCCGTTACCATCAGATCCATGACGCTGTTGCAGGGCAGGAAGTGGGGGAACTGCGTTGCCATACTCTGCGCTTGAGCCAGAGGCGGAGGACGTAGCACCAGATGCACCAGCGTGTCCTTTTTCCCATGTCTTTGTTGTCGTGGACGCCGTGTGTGGAGGAGAGGACAGCACGCTTATTTGGAGGCTGACCGTCAGGATGCTCGTCATCAGGCTGAAAAAGAAGGCCAGCACGCTGAGGAGTGGCGACCTCCTGCGATGGGAAGGTCGGCGTGGCCTCGAGAGCCTCGAGCGTCGCGGCCGCTGCCGCTGCACGATGGCCATCGCTCTCCATAGCCTGCTTCGGAACATATGTGCAGAACGAGAGTTGGGAAGTACCGTAGCCAGAAGTGAGAATGCTGCGGCCTTGCCGCAGGGAGAGAAAGAAATGCGGAGGCCCCTGTCCTGGGGCTTCTCTGGGGCCTCGGGGATTGGTCACCCTGGACCAGCCTCGAGAAATGGTTTACTTGAGCCAAAATGGCTACGGACCCTCCTCCTCCTCCTCCGCCTCCTCCTCCTCCTCCTCCTCCTCCTCCCCCCGCCTCCTCCTCCTCCTCCTCCTCCTCCTCCTCCCCCCTCCTCCTCCTCCTCCTTCGCCTCCTCCTCGTCCTCCTCCTCCTCGGCCGCGAGCCGCATCGCGCAGCTGCCAATAGCGCCTGACTAAAGCGGCACCTTGCTCATGCGCTGGCGGCCGCGCCGTTGGCCCTCTGTCCGCGAGTCAAGCAAAAAGATATAGAGCTGCCGACGCAGCATCCGAAGCGTTTGCCTCATGGCAGACACCTCGTTCGATTGCACTCGCGGGCGGATGTACTCGCGGAATGAGGGACACTTTGAGTGAGGAGAGATTGAGGAGGTTGAAGAGGAGGAGGAGGAGGAGGAGGAGGAGGACGAGGAGGAGGAAGAAGAGGGTAGGAAGATGAGCCAGACTCCAGACGATCAGTTCGCGATGATCATGATGGATGGTGAGGAAGTGGACTACGAATCGGACTAGGCGAGCTCGCCACACACACACACACACACAAGCGAGAGAAGAGCAGGACGAACTGCAGCCGGCCAAGCAGCCGAGGCAGCAACACTCGGGGGCGCACAAACATGGATGGATGAGCGATCCATGAATTTGGCGCGCGGTCGCCAAATCCATGGATCGGGGGAGGTGCCCTCCCCAAAATGCGGCCGGTGCCGCCCCGTGTGGCGGCGGAAATCCGCGATTGTCCATGGAAACGGGACCCGTCGCTGATCCACGCCCCCTTGATCCATGCTTGCGATCGCCTGAAACACTAGAAGGAATTGCGGCCAGGAAGACGGCGGCAATACGATGTACGACACCACGGCCGAGCGCATGGCGGAGCGCTCCCTGTCAGACTGGGAGGGCGACAGGCACCCTGCGCCAGAGAGGAGCCAGCCAGCGTGGGGTCGCAGCAGCGGTGGGAAGTGGACGAGGAGCGCAGGGCGGGCCAGCCATGACGCGGCTGCAGAGGGCCAGTGAAGGGGGGGATACCCGCGGTCACCGCTTGCAGCTACGCCGCTTGCATGTTGCAGCATGCTGCACTGAGTGTGCGACGCCTGCTCCAGCCATGGGCAACCATGCTACTTCAGGTGCAGCCGCGCGCGTGGTGTTAGCGTGAATGCGGAGCTGCGGCCTTGGCAGTCCGTGGAGACGCCCCGTTTGGTGCATGGGGCTCAGCGCATGCATGCCGCAGGAACCCTGCCACCGCTCCAAAATGTGGACTCGCCGCTGTCTTCCCTGGGCATCGGCAACCCCGCACGTCGGGGGCGGCCAAGAGGGGGGCGGCCAAGAGGGGCGCGTCCAAGAGGGGGGGGGGGACACAAATCATAGCCCACGGCATGTGCGCGGCCCAGGGGGGCCAGGAACGTAATGAAATAAGAAGAGGCGCCATGAAATCTGAGGAATATCATGGCCCATGCCATTATATCCAACCCCCCATCTTTGCCGCCCGCTAGGGCCAAGGGCAGGCAGCTGGACCGGGCAAGTGGACTCGGGCTGCGGGCACCAGCCCTGCCACGCCTCCGAGCGCCGCTCCGTGTCCAGACTCCAACCTGGGTGGCAACCGTGTTCACCCTGCACTGCCCTGGTCAGCGTTCGCTACAGTATAGCGACCAGCGTTCACCTTGACGCTGGCGGACCAGAGGATTTGCTAACGTTGACGGTGGCTTGCGTTGTGATGACTAGCACAGCACACCAGAGGATGTTTTCACCAAACATGTCCGCGAGTGCTTTTGCACGCGGAAAAGCACCGTGCAGCGAGGCTGTGAGGGTCCGCGGCCATCCGGGTCAGGCCTGGCCGACATCCCAGGCTTCTCGTTTCGGTGCACTGGCAAGAAGTGCCGTCGAAGGGACACCCGAGGGGAAGCGCGTGGCGCACGTGGTGGCGGACGTCAGCCGCATGGGGGAGGCCGAGCAGGATGAGGGAGGAGAACGAGGAGGGGCCTAGCCGCGCGCGAGGGGACGGACGGTCAAGAGCAGGGGACGAGAAGAGACCAGCCCAAGGCCCAAGCCCCAAGGATCGGGCTATCCCGACACGCGGCCCATGGCCCAGGCCGAGGAGGACGAGGAGGAGGGGCGGAAGAGCGAGAGCGTGAGGAAGAGAGCGCGGGAGTGTTGAGGACGAGGAGAAGGAGAAGGAGGAGGAGGAGGAGGAGGAGGAGGAGGAGGAGGAGGAGGAGAGGAGGAGGAGGAGGAGGAGGAGGAGCGCACGCATGGGGGCGACAGGTGACATCTCAGCCGCTGGCGCCGACGGCCAGCTTCAAGGCGCGAAGATCTGCGGCTTCGAGATCGCCGAGCCGAGAGGGCAATGACTCGTGCTCAGCTTTCAGCTTGTGGTGAGCGTAAGATCCGAGCACGTCCAATCGATGAGCTGCGAATGAGGACACTGGAGCATCGTAGGCCAAATTGTCGCCGAGGCCGAGGCGAGTGAGGGAGCAGGCGAGGCAGGAAATTCCTTGGGCGAGCGAAGAGGTGGAGGAGGAGACGTGGGCAGACGGCATGGTGGGGCCATCGATCGAAACCATCCCCAGCAAACAACGCCGTTGCACCAAAACGAGCACCCTTCCCGAGGTGATCCACCCTCTGGCTAAGGTCGCCAGACGAGCCCAAGCCAACGACAGCTGCGAGCGGAAGAGGACAGACCCGACGGGCGTCCAGCGCTGGGCCGTGACCTCTAGGGGGGGGATGGGGGGAGAACGACCTCGGGCAGCCAGGCCCTCAACCTTCCGAGGATGGGAGACGTGAGGCCGCGAGGGAAGAGGAGGGTGGTGAGGGTCCTGGTGTACGTTCGCTGTAGCCTTGCACGGCGCCCCTGCGCCAAGGCAGTAGCGAGCTCGGAGCGGGCGACCGAAGCAGCGGTGAGCAGATGGCCTTGATGCAAGGCAAATGATGGTCGCGACACGGTGACCACACAGAGGTGCTGAGTTATGGACCCCTGCCTCCCTTTCAATAGCGTCCTGGGCTCTACTGCTGAGAAAGAAGCGGACAATGATACCATGGAGCAACGCACACTCTCCGAGCCTGTCGTCCGCAACCTGGTGAGCCGGGGCGAAAGTGAACTGGCCATGTCGCCACGCGGAAGACGTGGTTAACAAAAATATTGAGCCCGGGCCAGGTCAAGGCAGCCAAGAGTTAAGGCACATGGGCCCCGTCCAATTGAAAGCATTGAAGCCCTTGTGGACGAGGCGAGTCTCTTGCGAAAGAAGAAGGAGAGGGAACGACTGGGACAAGTGCGTAGGCAAGAAGACTCATAATGGGGAGCGGATGGGAGAAACCAGCCTGGACTCTGAGGCAGGCTGGCTTCCAGGGCCGAACTGCATGCACAGGTGGAGAGAGCAAAGAGGTGTTGCCGGACATGGCAGGGGCGCACTTCGCCCACAGCGATCGCCCGCACTCTTGCTGTACTAGTCTGTAGCAGGAGGCTCGCAAAAAGCACCCGGCGGCGACGTGAACGGGCTGCAACCTGGAAGCCCGCCGCAACTAAGGAACGGGAAGCTCCGACATCATACGCGAACGAGCCAGCGCCCACATGATTCGCCCCAGACTCCGAAAAGGACCACCCCTTTCGGTCGATGGGTGGAGGAGAACGTCGAAGCACCGCGCCCACAGTGTGCAAGACAATGGGCAGCCCTGAGCCGCACCAGCAGGGACGTGAAGAAGCGGCATCACCTCATCGCCAAACCATGCACTCGTTCGTGTATCATGGTGCAGCGCCCAGGTCACACACAAGCATCCAGCCTGCAAGGCGTGGTAAAGCAAGACCGCCGCCATCCACTGCCCGTTTATCAGCGGGAAGGCCGCCGCCACGTCAATCGAACATGCGGACGGCATCCGCCTGTCTGCCACCTCGTGTCTGCTACCTCGTGATGTCCAGCTCGTGTCTGCCACCTCGTGTCTGCCACCTCGATGTCCAGCTCGACGAGCAGCGGCATCCAGCTCGACGATGCGGGAGGTGAGCTGGCGGCCACGAAAAGAAAGTCGTGCTGAACATGGCGACGAGTGTCTCCGGCAAGCCTTCGAAGCCGACGGAGAAGGAGAAGGGCGGGCCATAACAGGCTGCACCTTCCAGCTTCCAGGATGGCAGGAGGAGGCGGGCGGGAGGAAGGCGGGAGGAGGACGGGAGGAGGAGGAGGAGGAGGAGGAGGAGGAGGAGGAGGAGGCGGAGGAGGAGGAGGAGGAGGAGGGAGAGGAGGAGGAGGAGGAGGAGGAGGAGGAGGAGGCGGTGGAAGAGCAGGTGCAGAGGGAGGGGGAGGAGGAGGAAGAAGAGGAGGAGGATGAAGAAGAGGAGGGTTAGGGAGCATCGGGGAGGGCGGGGGAGAGGGAGGAGGCAGGAGGAAGGTGGAGGCGGAGGCCGGGAGGGCCGCGCGGGAGCCTCGGCGCGCGGCCCGTACTCGCGCTCCAGCTCGCGCCGGACCACGGCGACCATGGGCTCCTCGGGCGGCGGCACGCGCGGGGCGGGCAGTGCGCGAGGGCAGGGGGAGGGGGGCGCCAAACGTGGCGGGGGCGGGGGGGGGGGGGCCAAAGGGGGCGGGTGCGGGCGGGGGGGGCGCGGGGGCGGGAGGGAGGGAGCGCCAACGGAGCGGGGGCGGGGAGAGGGAGTGCGCGGGGGCAGGGGATGGGGGGGGGCGGGCGCCAAAGGGAGCGGGCAGTGCGCGGGGGCGGAGACGTGGAGGGGGGAGCGCCAAAGGGGGGGGCGACCTGCTCCTCAGACTCCGCGTCCTCGTCGCCGCCCCCGCGCTCCCCCCCCCCCCCCCCCCGTTTCTCCTAGTCCTAGTCCTCGTGGCCCTCCTCTCTTGAGCAAGCCGCGGGTACTGCTGCGTGGAGCGTCAGTGGACTGCGAGTCGACGCTCGCCCGCCGCGCCGCGCCCGCAAATATGTCAGAGAGCGCGAGGGGCCGCAAGAATGCACATAGCCGATGCTGCGCGCTAGCCGAACGCCTGCCTCCCCCATCTCCTACGCCAAGCTCCTCCTCTACAGCCTCCACCACCAACAACAAGAGGATGGGTGCGGTTCGGCTGGTCCGCGGAAGAGGGGTTTTCGTCGCCATCCTGCTGCTCCTCCCATCCTCCTCGTCTTATTGCTCCTCCTACTTGTCCTTCTCGTCCTGGTCATCCTACTGGCTGACCTCGACCACCTCATCCTCGTTAGCCCCTCGCACGCTTGTCTCGTACTCCGCCTTCTCCAGGTCGTCCTCATCCGCCTCCTGCTCTTCCTCCGCCTCCTCCTCCTCTTCTTCCTCCTCTTCATCCTCTTCGTGCTCGTCCTCGTCCTCCTACTGAACCTCATCCTCTCAGACTCCTTATCATTATCATCATTCTCCTCTGCCTCCTCCTCCTCCTTCTTCTCCTCCTCCTCCTCCTCCTCCTCCTCCTCCTCCTCCTCCTCCTCCTCCTCCTCCGTCTAGTCCTCCGCATCCTTCTCCCATTCCTTTGTCCCTCGCCTCGTCATGTGCCTCCGCTTTCTTCTCCTCCTCCTCCTCCTCCTCCTCCTCCTCCTCCTCCCAGTCCTGGCCCTCAGTTTCCCTCGTCGTCTTCGCCTTAGTTATTGTCGATCCTTGGACCCCAGACCACATCAGGACGCATACAACAACCGACACATGCATCTACTTACCCCGATCCCCCTCATCCCCACCGAGTTCCCACTCCTTCCCCCGCATAGTCTCCTGCTCCTCGCCCCCCTTGCTACGAATCCATAAGAAAAACCTAGCATCGGATAACAACCGACACCTGCGACCTCACCAAACGAGCCATACGAAACTCCGGACTCCTGCCAACACGCCAGACAACGCCGGGAATCCTTAACAGACCAACCACGACTTGAAAACACCTCCGCATCCTCCTGATGATCCTCATCCTCCCCCTCCTCCGTCGTCCCATGCCTCACCCTGCCTCCTTGTCCCCTCCCTCCGTCCCCCCGCCCCTCCCTCCCTCCATCCCCCCCGTCTTCGTCGTCCCTCCTGCCGACCCCCCCTCGGCTCCAGGCACCGCTGGGCCGCGTGCCCGGCGCCTTCGGGGACGCCCCACGCGCCCAGCGCCTGATGTTGCGGGGCGGGGGCGCAGCGGCAGCGGCTGGAGATCGTGCGGCTGCGGGGGGGAGATAGTGAGGCACCAAGGCGAAGAGGATGACAAGGGAGGGGGAGGAGGAGAAGGAGGGGGAGGAGGAGGGGGAGGAAAAGTAGGAGGAGGAGGAGGAGGAGAAGGAGGAGGAGGAGGAGGAGGAAGAGGGGGAGGCGAAGGATAAAAAGTAGTAGTAGTAGTAGGAGGAGGAGGAGGAAGAAGAGGGGGAAGAGGAAGACGAGGAAGAGGTGGAAGGGGACCAGGAAGGGGGCCAGGCGGAGGAGGAGGCTGAGGACTGGCAGAAGATGAGCAGGAGGAACAATAGTACACGGATAAGAGACAAGAGGCAAGGGAGGATATAGTGGGGAAGTGAGCATGGGCACGACGAGCATCATCAGAAGCAGCCAGTGGGAGGAGGAGATAATCGCCGGAGCAACAATCATGCGATGATGACCAAGGCGGCAGGAGGGAGAACGAAAAGGAGAAGCATGACGATGAGGAGGGCGAGGAAAACCATGATGACCATCACCGCAAGGCCAGGGGATTGGGCGCACCAGTCAATTCACGGGCGTGCGGCAGGGAGCGGCGACGAGGGCCACACACGAAGACAGCAGACGAAACCGAGGCGGCAATCAGCTCCGCGCTGCAGGTGGGCAGGCAGCACGGCCTCGCTGTTCCGCACCACGCACGAGCTTTGCGGCCACGTGGACTCGGCAGCACCCTCCCCCTCTCTCTGCCGTAGGCCGAGGGATCCCGCCCTACGTGGTTTTGCCACCGGCGGCGTGAGGCACGAAGCGCCACGCAGCAGCGACCAGGCCGCGGAGGAGCTCGGCAGCGTGCTCGCCACACGGCCGGAGAAGCAGAAGACGTGCCCCGCCTGGCACCTCGGGGCAGGCCCCGGCCCTCGGGCCGTGCTTGGCGCCAGGGCGGGCGCAACGGGCCACGGCGGCCCGCTCCCCGGCGCCCCGCGCGCGCCCCGGGCCAGCCGCAGGCGAGGACCGGGGCCGCGAGCACGAGACCCTCGTGCGAAGTCGGCCCCTGTCCCCCTACAGGGGGGGGGTCGGGCGAAGAGTTACAAATACTCAGAAATTTCCACCAAAAGGCCAAACATTACGAAATGAATCGTCTCCAGACTTTGTTTTTACTATTTTTGAATATCCCTACTGTAGAGGGACAGGCCCGGCTTACCCTTCGTGCCGCGGTGTGCTTCGCTCCTCGCTGAATATACCTTTTTCTTGGTGCCCCTCGCGCCCTCCCTTCCCCCGCGCCTCTTCCTGCGGCACACACAGGGCCGCTCCCCCTCACCACCGCTCCCGCCGCCGCGCTTCTTGCCTTCCTCCCCCCCACTACCCTCAGATCGGGCGTGTCCCCCTGTAGGGGGATTTTGGGCGAACACTAATTACCCTGGCGACGTACCCAACCCTTGCGCAATGCGGGGCATAAGTACATCAGGATTGCTACAACGGGGGCGATGACGTAACATGGATGCATCAAGATATGAGGGCTACACAAAAACAAATCATCCCCAGTGGCTGTGCCATGCGCCCGTTGCACCCAACGTATCCCGCAGCAGATCTTGAGAGCCCCCGCGGGATACGTGTAGGCGCAACGTTATGGCCATCGCCCTGCAGATGGTCTGTTTCACAAATCATCCCGTTGGCTGTGCTATGCGTCCGTTGCGCCGAACGTATCCTACAGCAGCTCTCCAGAGCCCCCCGAAGACGGCGGGGTCTCGCTCAGGTCCCCGCGGTGCCTCAGTCCGCTGGACCCACCAGCAGCCTTCGAAAGTGGCGACAGAGTCGCAGATCCCAGCCCCCCAAGGGACGGCGAGGTCTCGCTCAGGTCCCCGCGGTGCCTCACTCCGCTGGACCCACCAGCAGCCCTCGAAAGTGGCGACAGCGTCGCAGATCCCAGCCCCCCCAGGGACGGCGAGGTCTCGCTCAGGTCCCCGCGGTGCCTCACTCCGCTGGACCCACCAGGAGCCCTTGAAAGTGGCGACAACGTCGCAGGTCGCAGCCCCCGCCCAGGGACGGCGAGGCCTCGCTCAGGTCCCCGCGGTGCCTCAGTCCGCTGGACCCACCAGCAGCCTTCGAAACTGGCGACGGTGTCGCAGATCGCAGCCCCCAAGGGACGGCAAGGTCTCGCTCAGGTCCCCGCTGTGCCTCACTCCGCTGGACCCACCAGCAGCCTTCGAAAGTGGCGACAGCGTCGCACATCGCAGCCCCCCCAGGGACGGCGAGGTCTCGCTCAGGTCCGCGCGGTGCCTCACTCCGCTGGACCCACCAGCAGCCCTCGAAAGTGGTCACAGAGTCGCAGATCGCAGCCCCGCCCCAGGGACGGCGAGGCCTTGCTCAGGCCCCCGCGGTGCCTGACCCCGCTGGACCCACCAGCAGCCCTCGAAAGTGGCGACAGCGTCGCAGATCGCAGCCCCCCCCCACCCCACAGGGACGGCGAGGTCTCGCTCAGGTCCCCGCAGTGCCTCAGTCCGCTGGACCCACCAGGGGCCCTCGAAAGTGGCGACAGGTTCGCAGATCGCAGCCCCCCAGGGACGGCGAGGTCTCGCTCAGGTCCCCGCTGTGCTTCAGTCCGCTGGACCCACCAGCGGCCCTCGAAAGTGGCGACAATATCGCAGATCGCAGCCCCCCCAGGGACGGCGAGGTCTCGCTCAGGCCCCCGTGGTGCCTCACTCCGCTGGACCCACCAGCAGCCCTCGAAAGTGGCGACAGCGTCGCAAATCGCAGACGCCCAAAAGACGGCGGGGTCTCGCTCAGGTCCCCGCGGTGCTTCAGTCCGCTGGACCCACCAGCAGCCCTTGAAAGTGGCGACAGTGTCGCAGATCGCAGATCGCAGCCCCCCCCCCCCAGAGACGGCGAGGTCTCGCTCAGGTCCCCGCGGTGCTTCACTCCGCAGGACCCCCAGACAGCCCTCGAAAGTGGCGACAGGTTCGCAGATCGCAGCCCACCCAAGGACGGCGAGGTCTCGCTCAGGCCACCGCGGTGCCTCAGTCCGCTGGACCCACCAGCAGCCCTCGAAAGTGGCGACAGGTTCGCAGATCGCAGCCCCCCAGGGACGGCGAGGTCTCGCTCAGGTCCCCGCGGTGCCTCACTCCGCTGGACCCACCAGGGGCCCTCGAAAGTGGCGGCAGCGTCACAGATCACAGCCCCCCAGGGACAGCGAGGTCTCGCTCAGGTCCCCGCGGTGCCTCAGTCCGTTGGAATAGTCGCAAATCGCAGCCCCCCAGGGACGGCGAGGTCTCGCTCAGGTCCCCGCGGTGCCTCAGCCCGCTGGACCCACCAGTAGCCTTCGAATGTGGCGACAATGTCGCAGATCGCAGCCCGCCAGGGACGGCGAGGTCTCGCTCAGGTCCCCGCAATGCCTCACTCCGCTGGACCCAACCGCAGCCCTCGAAAGTGGCGACAGGTTCGCAGATCGCAGCCCCCCCAGGGACGGCGAGGTCTCGCTCAGGTCCCCGCGGTGCCTCACTCCGCAGGACCCCCAGGCAGCCCTCGAAAGTGGCGACAATATCGCAGATCGCAGCCCCCCCAGGGACGGCGAGGTCTCGCTCAGGCCCGCGCGATGCGTCACCCCGCTGGACCCACCAGCAGCCCTCGAAAGTGGCGACAGGTTCGCAGATCGCAGCCCCCCAGGGACGGCGAGGTCTCGCTCAGGTCCGCGCGGTGCCTCACCCCGCTGGACCCAACAGCAGCCCTCCAAAGTGGCCACAATTTCGCAGATCGCAGCCCCCGCAGGGACGGCGATGTACGCACAAGGCAAGAACAGACAAGAGTGAAGCGGGAGGCGAGAGGCGGGCGAAGATGGACGCGGCCGCAGTGCTGTATCCGAAACGAATGCCCAACCAAGGAGGGTTGGGGAAATTACCCTGGCGACGTACCCAACCCCTGCGCAGTGCGGGGCATGATTAGCTTGGGAGACGGTATACGGAGGTGTTGACGTGACATGGGCGCATATACTTCTGCGAACGGCATTCGTGAGGTTCGCAGCCCCCCAGGGACGGCGAGGTCCCGCTCAGATCTGCCTGGTGCCTCACTCCGCAGGACCCACCAGCAACCCTCGAACGTGGCGACAGGTTCGCAGATCGCAGCCCCCCCAGGGACGGCGAGGTCTCGCTCAGGACCCCGCGGTGCCTCACTCCGCTGGACCCACCAACAGCCCTCGAAAGCAGCGATAGTGCCGCAGATCGCAGCCCCCCAAAGACTAGGGACGGCGAGGTCCCGCTCAGATCCGCGCGGTGCCTCACTCTGCATGACCCACCAGCAGCTGCCGAAGGTGGCGACAGCGTCGCAGGTCGCAGCCCCCCAGGGACGGCGAGGTATCGCTCAGGTCCGCGCGATGCCTCACTCCGCAGGACCCACCAGCAGCCCTCGAAAGTGGCGACAACGTCGCAGATCGCAGCCCCCCAGGGACGGCGAGGTCCCGCTCAGGTCCGCGCGGTGCCCCACTCCGCAGGACCACCAGCAGCCCTCGAAAGTGGCGACAACGCGCAGATCGCAGCCCCCCAGGGACGGCGAGGTCCCGCTCAAAGTGGCCACAATTTCGCAGATCGCAGCACCCCAGGGACGGCGAGGTACCGCTCAGGACCGCGCGGTGCCTCACTCCGCAGGGGCCACCAGGGGCCCTCGAAAGCGGCGACAATCTCGCAGATCGCCACCCCCCAAGGACGGCGAGGTACCGCTCAGGTCCCCGCTGTGCCACCAGCAGCCTAAGTGGCGACAGAGTCGCAGATCGCAGCCCCCCAGGGACGGCGAGGTCTCGCTCAGGTCCGCGCGGTGCCTCACTCCGCTGGACCCACCAGCAGCCCTCCAAAGTGGCGACAGGTTCGAAGATCGCAACCCCCCACGGACGGCGAGGTCTCGCTCAGGTCCACGCGGTGCCTCATTCCGCTGGACCCACCAGCAGCCCTCGAAAGTGGCGACAGGTTCGCAGATCGCAGCCCCCCAGGGACGGCGAGGTCTCGCTC